ATCTGTTCGAAATATGTGAAAATAATCAAGCGCCTGCTTATTAAAATACCTTTTGTCGAATTTATTTATCAGAAATTTGCTGACTTTTAAACAGTCGGAAAGGAAAAAGAAATTGATTACTCGTGTGCTCAATGCAGAATATGCAAAACTTGGCCCGTTCAAGTAAGTAGAACGGCTAATGTATTGATGTCCTAATGTAGGCTTTCTAAACTGTTATTCTCTAAGGTGCTTGGTAGATATGTCTCAGTTTCCATTACGTTATACTGGATTATAAAACGAAAAGTAAACTAACTGTGACTCATTGAATAGTCTATTTTGAAGAAATCAACCTTTCAGCTATATTAAATGTGTGTATGATTTCATAAATAAATTTATCCAAAGGCGAATTTCCCTTCGAATATTGAATGAACTATTGGCTGGTGATTGAATAAAAACACAAGATATGATCGTTTTTCAGCGATTGTCAATCAAAGCATGAATATAAAACACTAGCTGATAACTCAAGACATGAAGAAACATGGCTCACAACACCACATGAGCCTGCGAAAATCAGTTCATTGTCAAGCACTCGGCCAAATGAACTGTTTTATTCATCTAATCACCTTTTGACTTAATTCAAGCTAAATTAAATAAAATGCCAAATCATCGCTAACGTTTTTCTCAAAGTTTGGTCCACAGTGACAATTAAATATCCAAAGGCCCATTTGTAAGAAGATTGTTTCCTCCCAAAATCATGCAGTTAGGAACCTACAGATTTAAATGATGAAATATTAGACAATTAACACGCAAATACATACCATTTAAAATGTGGGAATATAAGAAAATTGTGAGTTCATTATACATTCTGTGCATATCCTTTTTTCTACCCAACTTTATTTGGGTCTTCGGAAGTTTAGCAAGTTGAACAACTTAAATTTTGTGCCAAATTATACGTTGGAAACTCTGTCAGTCAGCCAGGGTAGTCTTCAGCATTTCATTTTTGTAATATCACGTATGTCTGTTAATTTATATTTTCACTATGGGAAATAATGCACACTCGTTTTGCTAGAACATTGTAATGTAAATATCTTAAGAGCGTTATACTTTTTATAGCGTATTTCTTCCTACTTCACCAACCTGTTTAGCGCTCAGTTCAGTCTAGATTTAATTGTAGCCTAATATTTACCAGAAAAGATATGACGAATTATAAGAAATCAATTAATCCTATTTCAGATATAGTGAAGCACTTACAATGATTTTATTCTCAATTCTTGCAATGCTGTGGATGACAAGGAAATTGGGTACTGCAGGATGGGGGAAGTTCTTCGTTGACGAAAACGACCCTGAAAAAAAGTAAGTTTCAACTCTACAAATTAAGTATTCACTATTACTTATAAGTGAGATACATTTATCTTTGTAAAATAAGACCATTGGAGCAAAAACATGACACAATCGGTAATTACTTACTTCATAACCCATACACGCCACTATTATTAATAATAATAATAAAACATGAACAGAAGTGATCTCTTCCAACCAAATCTTACAAAAATTACATAGTAATTACCTATAATCGTAGCCTCAAACACAAATATTAAAGCGGATGTGACCCTACCTGACTTTTCTGAGCACATTTCTAAGAGTCTCCGTACAAAAGGAAGAAAAGTGTTGTCGAGTGCAATCGCCAGACTTTTAATTGTCACAGGACACACAGTAGAAATTAACCAAGCCTTCAAAATAATCCATACGCAAAGAAACCCATGGTTACTTTGCTTCGCAGAAGCCATTGCTATCACGAGACTTCGACCAGACCTCTGTATACAGAAAGATAGTGTGACTAATCTTTCACTACCCTGGTAACCCTAATTTTATTTTATTTTATTTTGCCTTTTTGTCAGTATGCCCGTGTGTTTGTCTTGTTACGAAACATTCTATTCACTTTTGACTTTCAAGTTTCTAAATCTACTTAATTGCATAAGTTAAAAAATGTTACTTCACTATTTACTCCCACCCTCTTAAACTCTCCACCACACGATGTGTAAATTCACTCTATTCTCTGACCCTGACCCTATAATTTTCCTCTAACCAATCTGTGTTTTCCAACTGAAATCTGAACTCCAACCCCTCTTATCTAATTCCACTATATATAATTAGTTGTTTTTTGACACTGCATAATCTGTCAACCCACATCAAATTCTGAAATTATGTTCCTTATGCCTTCTACCTATTTTTTTTTCCTTCACGTTCCCCAGTGGAACATAGGGCTTCAAGCTAGTGGCTTGAAGTTTCTGTAGCACTTTGTTTTACAGGATGGGGTTGCTAGCCTCATGCCCAACCTTTCCTCTTCACCAGCATTACTTCTGGCTTAGTGAGGTTAAGGAGTGCATCGGCCGGGGATCGAACCCCGGACCATGTGCATGGTCGGCGAGCGTCCTAACCGCTATGCCACCGACGCACTGAGTTACATTGCTACCAGTTTTTTAATATGGGTAATTGTGAAAATAATTTCCAGATATATATCAAGAATGTCGATATATAGTGTATAAAATTTAAAAAATCATGCTACAATTCTAAGTCTTTGTATTCTTCATTACAACTTCTCCATACCAGTCAGATAGCTGCAATTATTTGAAAAGAATACTGGGTTTCTTGAAGGATCCCTACACACTAAGACGAAATATTGTGCCTTCCTTATTTTAATAATAAGTTACTCTCTAGCGACGAATGAAATCCTTATTCTATTCTCGACCAACAAATTCCTAAATCGTGCTTAACTGTAAGTAAGCCCAGAAAAGAGAGAGAGTTGGCGGAGGGTTTAGCAACATCACTGTTACTGGAACTCTGATGCTTCAACCTTGAAGCCTTATTTTCCAGTAAGAAGGGAAAGAATGGAAAAATAACCAAAGCTCACTACCTAGTTGATGGCCGCAAGACATAACTTCATACTCCCTTAAAGAACTAACAACTTTGAGATAAGTTAAGAATATATTTTTAAAGTTGATTCGACTTAACCATTGGCTTAAGGTTGGAAAAAAGAAATCTCCAAAAAATAATGTGCGCCTTTAGCTACCATCAAAGTAAATATTTGATAAACACGATTACAAACATGTATTTCAGGCTAGAATTTATATGATTCCAAATAGTATCTCACAAACCACTCAGAACAGGTGCTGTTATGTATATTTGCGACCGCATTATCAGCAAATGTCATCCATATGTAACTGAGAAGTTATCACTTTCATTGTTAATAAATGAATAAATCCATAAAACTGAGAACCTACTACTTTATCAGCACCCAACATAAGATGCTCGACTTCACCGTTTAAGTGAATGGCCAACCATGGAGCTCTGGGTAAACATTATTGTTGAATGTGGGATGACAAACGGACACACTGATTGTCCCAGTAACAACTACACGCCACCTCAAAATATTTAGTAATGAAATAACTACGAAAGATAAGATTATCTGGAGTCCAGAAAGCATCTTTCGATAAATGACCATGCTAACGAAGTCTGTAAGATCGTAAATGCGTTGCACACGGTTAGTGACTATAAAATCATGATTTCTATTTCGAACTAATGCAACATTATTGAGGAATAGCTGACATTCCTAAACACATATAAATAAGTATTATGGTTTTCCAAGCAAAATCAAAGCCTCAAAATATTTAATCAGTTAAGCATATCATTTCATGCAAGAGTATATCAGAAGAATTAGACTTGCGTAAAGTGGTGATATAACTCAATGTTTATATTCGAGTTAAACTTCTAAAAATTACACCACAAACCTTATTTAGTGTCCTTTAAATTGCCTTCAAATCAAATTCGCTGTAAACGACTGGAACGACAAAGAATTCCAAAAGAATCAAGCCTATGACATCTTACTGAAATTCTTAAATTCACGATCTTAAAATATAATTTACATGCGCATATATGTGTACGCATTCACAGAATGACGAAATGCAAAAACAAGATGTAAAAAATTACGTTTTCACAACGTTTATCATCCTTAACAATCATCACGGTATCAATTTACTTCTTTAAGTTAACTTCTAAATGGTGACTAACTGATAGCGCGAAATTCAACAAAAACTATTCCGTGAACATTGCTAGATGAATTCAAACATTTGAATTATTATTTAGCTAATAGGAATGGAAAAACATCATCGACCTATAACTCCTAATAATTATGAAAAAGTGTGTTCCGAAACGTTTTTGAAACTTATAATTTGATTTTGTTTTGGATGTATGCAGTTGATGAGTATCCACGACATAAAACGAGCTCGTATTATCCTGCAAACATGTTCGTTCTTTCTCTATTCATTACTTTACTGATTTAGGGATTCATTTTTTACCAGTGTTCACTTCAAACAGTTTACATTACACAGATAATATAGTCTTTCCACTTGAAGATGATGTAGAAATATGGAGTCCCATGGACATCTTGAGAGGAAACTCTAATTTGTTTTGATGGGATTCATCCATTGTAATATGTTAGCAGATGGTGCAGGACTCACTTGCACCGACTGTCAGCTTCAGATAGGAAAGCGAAATGATAGGATGTGCTGACCAATTTCTACATTCGCAAAGCTACATCTCCTTTAGTGTAAGGATTAGTGACGGAATCTCAGTATGGATGAAAATAGGCTTATGTGCAATTCATCAAGACACGTCACGCTTTTCACCACTGTCATATACAACTATCCATCCAAGTACGCGTATTCCATTCAACTGTTTACTCCATTCCACATAACAAATGTCTGGTTGTTTAAAGTGTGACGACCTAAATTCATGAATTTTTGTGCACTCTCCACCGTAGACAATGTGGGCTATTGAGTTCTACGAGACCGTGTTGTGCCAAAACTAGCACTGGAATGTGAAGGAAATACTTATTCAACTTTTCGTTCGAACAGATACAGGTTAAAACTTGTGAAGCCCTCATTTTGTCATGCATAAATCATACGCTGACAGGTCAACTTTGATGAACACGCTTCTGTGCATTGTTATTTCTAGTTGTGCTTATGAACACTTTAGCAAATCTGCTGATAGCTGGAGTAGTGAAAGTATGTGGAGGACCTGAATTCGACCTTCTAAGTAACCTTTTATGGGTATATTTTATCACAGGTTAGCCTGTGCTTATTACAGAACCTAATTTTAATATGTACCACCTTTCACTTATAGGAGTCAGAAATACTTTACAAGCTCTCAGGGATAAAACGAAGCCTAAATTGTTATTTGAAGAATCGATAGCTCTGCTTAAAACAGAATTACTCATTATTCTGTTTGATATTCACAAGGTTTGTGGAAGGTGGAGTTATTAATCTGCTGTTCAGTATCTTCTCCAACACACATAATTCAACTATTCACTTGTAAACATTATGGAATTTAGTTGGGACTTCTACTGAAATTAGGATTTATGCATCTTCACACTTCTAAGCAATGTGGTTGGTGCTCGTCGACTGCACAACACTTCAAAACATTGTGGAATTCATGGAATGGAATTTTCTTAACTTCGTCAGTGTCTTACAAATCAAAATATAATACTTTGAATTTGTCTGTATTCGTCTTTTTGCTAGGAGCTACGTATCAGATAGTGCCGCAGCTATTCTCATGTCCATAATTGTGATGATCATACCTGCGTCTGACCCTGTTACCCTATGGAAACACTGGAAACATTGCTATGAAACGCAAACTCGTGAGTCCGATTGTTGATTTATTATAGTGTGCATATATGGCGGAAAAATAGACATCTTCGTCAAAAATGAAAAGAGAACACATTCTGAAGTTGAGTAACTAGAAGTCTTGCTGTAGCCAGTGTGTGTGTGTGTGGGTGGGTGTGTCTGAATCAGCGTAATTCATTTGGGATTAATTAGAAGACGAGTCTAGAATCGCATGAAAATAATCTAAATTCTACACATTTTTCTCATGCAGACTTGTATTTTTCATTTTATCCTTACGAATTGAAATTTGACAGCAGTGGACAGCATTGTGATCGTACTCAAAGTTTTGACCAGTGTGTTTAGAAAATTAGGCATTTTGTTGTCTTCAGGTAACGGGATTCACCTATCCTCTACACACCCTAAGTCAAGAATATTTATTCCAGTTAAAACGCCCATTTCTGATTGGTCAAAATCCAACAAAGTCACAACCATCAATACATCTACAACGAAATAAAACTAGAGTCGTGATACCGGGAATCTGTGACGGGTAATTGTGGATGTTGTCACATGAGACAACTACCTCTGGTGATAACTGATATGACTGGGAATTTCTTAGTAGTATGTTTAAATTATGCTGATTGCTGTAAGTGTGATTTCAGCGCGCAGTTTCACTTTATTTCAAAATTTCCTACTAGCTGTTGCTCCCAGTTAATGTATTAGAATTCAATGAGTTAAGTTTGTTCAGAATAGCAATACGCTTGGATACCTGCTTTCTCTGCATGTTTACCTTGTTAGGTTTTGCAACCTGGGTTACAGGTTGCTAACTGACGTCTATTTTTTATTCAGATTGGTGTTTTGTGGCCGGTTGATTTGCTTTGATTTTCGAGCATTTCAGGCTGTTTCTACAATTTATTATTTGCTGGATTTCATTTTTGCAGTCGTTTGAATGTCACACACTTCCAAAATTCCTAATTACTGAAACCTTTTCATTTCTTCTTTGATCATAGATACATTTTGCGACAAATTTGATAACTTCCGAATGATTTTAATCTAAACTTCAGTAAAATTCATGTAGATTGTTCGGCGAAGTGTCACTGTAAAGTCACATTTAGATGCATTTTTCCCCCAAAAGCAGATGGTAAGATAGGAATTAATCATAGTTGCTAATATTAATAAATACATATGAGAAGCTGAATAAGCGTGATAAAATTATTTATCGAGATGCATAATTTAATCAGTGAGGTGCAATCACGGCGCACATAGAAACAGAAGAAATCTCATGTGACTTCAGAGTTCGGGAAAGTAGGTGAGTCAGAAAGGATCAGAGAAATCAAATAAGTGACAGAGTTAGGTTGAAAATAATTCGATCTTTACCACGATAACAGAAGTACATGAATGATTTTCTCTTGTGTACACAGCCCTAGTTTCTCCATCTGGATGCCTAGATCTTCAGCAATGCAAAGGAAGTGAAAGCCTTATCTTTCCGTATTGATTATTATTAACAACCGTTCTTACGATGACTCATCTCTTTCTAACTATCCAAGTTTACCAAAAGAAACTGTAAGTAAATGTGACTGTGCAGCTAAATAAAATTAACTCACCAAAAAAGACTCTGCTGAAATGCGTGTAGTTTTTTAATTAACTGAATAACCACTCATTTATGTTCAGTTCTATGTAAATAATATTACTTCTTATCATAATGTTGAATATTTATCAAAATAAGCAACTTGATATCATTATGAGCAGTAGTTTGTACTCCAAACGTCATCGGTTAATATTACTGTATAACACTGTGTGATTTATCAGAATAAAATCTTATCCATAATGGAGTTATACTCTAACACAGCGGCCAGGTTTTATACTTATATCAATAATATTGTCTGCTTACGCCATGAGAAACGAAACGCTAGCAGGCAGGAAGTCAAAGATTGGCATTTTAAATATATATATATGCACTACTTTCATGAGTTTGAATGCTGGATAGTGATTAGAGGCACGAATCTTAAAAAACATTTGATGGTTTAATCTGTGTTTATTAACACATTGCCATGAATAACTATGCTTTTAGTTTCAACAAATTAGTTTTCCTATTGTCGCTCAGATTTTGTTTCTAGTGTCCTGTGAAAAACAACATGGTGGCAGACGCAAGTAAAATTTATCGTCAAAGTTTTACTTTTTTTTAAATAAACGCTTTTTTGTTTGTCTTAGAGCCTGATAATGAAATAACTCGTATTTTGCTTCCATGGAATGTGGCGGTTAAAAGATTACCATGGGGAGTAATTTTGGTGCTTGGAGGAGGTTTCGGATTGGCGGTTATAGTTGAGGTAAAATATACTTAGAATCACTCGTTTGATTTATCTCTTTTTTCTACTCACTGTCACCATACACAACGAACTGTTGCATAATCTCTGAGCATATTCTTAATTTAAACTCAGTTTTTGGATAGAACAGCTTGAAGCTGGAAGTTATAGTTCTGACTGTTTTCAAGAGGAACAAGCACCTTATAATACAGTCTGTTGAAAATGAGGATCTACATCACACGAAGACTGGATAAATATAGGGAGTGGTATTTGAGAGCCATCCACAGTTTGCCCTTAAACTGGTTTACCTAAATACTGACCAGACCCTCTACACTGCAATTTGTTTCACAAAGCCATTGTTTTGTACCAGATTAAAATAAGATTGGACCCAGCTGCTGAATTTAACATACTTAAGATGTCATTATAAAACGTATACCACGAAATTTCGAAATACTTTTCTAATGTCAAAATGGAATAATAGCTATTTCGGTTGCTAATTACTTAATACACCGTCAAGTCTAACTGTCAGTCATCTGGACTACATATTTCTAATGATCAGACGCGCCTATACGGGCAGAAAACTGGTCTGACGTCGAGTCGTAAACGTAGGACAGCTTTCATGACTTTCCAACGGCCCTTTCCTGGCTGAAATAAAGACTTGAATTCTCGAAGGAAACTCAAAGAATATATCGCTTCAACTCTGTTGTATATATTGTTGAGGGGAAATTTGGAGAGCGTCTGGCTTTCATACCAGTCCAAACTCAATAAATCCAGGTTTTATTTATTGGCAAAGCATGTGTCGATAAAATGGATCTGGTGAAACCCAACTTTACACTTTAACTGCCTGATCAAAGGGAGTTTTTCAGCACATACACTGCCTGCTACCTGGTTTGTCCTCTCCACCTTGGGGCATCCCAGTTTTGTCAATAACCTCTTCGATATTATCGTTATAGCGGATGTCCTGTCTATTTACAGACGTGCAGGCTTTGAATTGATTTCTACCTCAATATATTTAAGTGAATTAGGCGTGGTGTTGTGATAAGCAGCTGTGATGTTCATGTGTCAAATTAGTTTCATATTATATCAATAAACCCAGTTTTATTAAAATCTGTGTACTGTCTTCAGTGTTCAAAACTAAATAACTGTATACAATATATAACAGTACTGATATTCAAATGATGGAATCAATAATCGGAATGCGAAAATACCTCAGTTTGTATCTATATATATATATATATATATATATATATATATATATATATATATATATATATATATAGATACAATCATGCTGTGTATAACATTGTTTTATAATTTTTCTCTTTTCTGAAAACTAGGATTCTGGCTTGTCAGCTGCAATAGGCGAATACCTAAGTGACCATCTGAAATATGTGCCAGTAACCATTCTAAATTTGGTTTGTATTTATGCAATTGCAATTTTAACCGAATTCACGTCCAATGTAGCAACAGTGTCAATTTTTATTCCCATTATTTATAGTTTAGTAAGTTAGTTTCTATGTTTAGAAACACGCAGAATTTACAAAGAAATTTCTTTTACTGAAAAGATATATCTGAAAATGCATTGCACACTGTAGGCAATCATTCCTAATAAACGTATACCCAATAGTTTGAAATGTGTTGGAGTCTTCACAAAACTACAAAAATTGTAAAAGGTTACTCATAAAAATGGCAGAAACAGTAATGGCTTAGCGCTTCCGGTAGTTTGTTAGGTTACCTGATTACATTGATTTACGCATCGATTGAAAACCTAATTTTTTTAACCTTTTTTAGCTAATTGACAATCAGTAAATAATACTGTATAACACTGAGGGACTTTACCGAATAATAAATTTACTCTGTGGTGGAATTATACTCCACCGCAATGCCAAAGTTGTATTCTTATATCATTACATCAATTTATTGCAAGCAATGACAACTATCATTTTTGAATACATCTTAAGTGCTTACTTGCTTTCGTGGTCAAATTTAGTGAAACATTTTCAGTAATTATGAACTATATATAAATGATGCCTACACTACGAATTCGAGGTATTCAAATTTAGCTTCAGCTTTGTTTACACACTTCATTTAAGTATTCTGCGCGGGAAATAATTTCTAGTTTTCTGAAAAAATTTGACTAGTTTAAAATATAAAGAGGAAACACAAATCAATCTCTTTGAAAGAAGGCATTCATTCAATTTTGTAAACTTTTATATCACAATATGGTTTTCATGTTTACTTTTCACTTGGAGACCAATTCTTGTAGAACTATTATTTAGTCAAATCTTGACCAAAGTTGGTATAAATTAGTAGATTCTGTTTCAAATCAGATTACTAGTGTATAGTGTGACCACCTTTGTTGGTACTAAACGTAAATTTATCATAGTGCATTAATTCTTGACAGGATTTCACTTTCATTTCATACTGACGCTCCTAACATGCTTACAGGAATAAAATATTCTTGAACAGGACAAGGAATTAAAATTTCATATTGGGTCTAAAATTGTATAAGGCACTGATTACATAAATTATCTGCTATTCACAGATAATTACAATAGTCGACTAGTTAATGACTTACAGTTTTCAGTTAACTCCAGATTTACAAAACATTACTTCAAAGATTGAGTTATGTTCATATGTTTTGTTTGATGATATAATGCCTGGTTTTATCAGTTAGTTAAATTTACGTAGATCCGTCATCTGGAAAGATGTATTCACATATCACCGCATTCTTCAAATGATTATAGAACTCAACTAATTTAGTTTAATTGGACATGTCTATTATTTGAAATTCATCATTTCTCAACAACACGAATTTACAGGAAAATCAATCTTATTTATAATGTTAAGAATTGGTTTGAGAGATTTTTTATTTTTCGCCAAGTTTTTGAACCATTGGTGCATAAATGTTTTTATATGTGATGTTTGTAAATCTCTAGTGTGAAGGAATTGGAATACATCCGTTTACGTTGGCATTGCCTGCGACTGCCGCAGCTTCATTTGCATTCATGCTTCCTGTTGCAACCCCACCTAATACGATTGTTTTCGCTAAAGGAAGAGTACGAGTTAAAGATATGGTATGCTTCCTACTTTGTAGTATTATAGTTTTGTTGTGCACCAAATTCAACTGCATCTAGTTAATGCTTCCGACCAACAAATATTTTCCGTAAAGTGGAACTTGTGCAGATCAATTAATTATCGAATCTGTTTAAAAATGATAAAGTGAAAATTGAAATTATAGAAGTTTTATCAGAAATTAACTGCACAAGTATTACCACATGGAAAACGACTGAAATCCGTGCGGTTGATATTAAACGAACACAGCTAAATAAACAAGTGTATAGACGAAATAATGGACAAAATTCAGTAAGCAGGCTGTTGTGGTGATAACACCACCATAACGCTTACCAAAAGCTCCAGTGAGGCATTTATTGCAAGCCATTCTTTCAGAGACTGAGAAACGACAGATGTGTATATCTCTGACATATCTGATAGCAGAGGAGGTTGAAGTGTCCTTAAACAAGTCTGTAAAAGATTGCTCACAAAGTCAAACTCAGGTCCTCCACATACTTTCACTACTCCAGCTATCAGCAGATTTGCTGAAGTGTTCCTAAGCGCAACTAAAAATAACAATGCACAGAAGCGTGTTCATCAAAGTTGACCTGTCAGCGTATGATTTATGCATGACAAAATGAGGGCTTCACAAGTTTTAACCTGTATCTGTTCGAGCGAAAAGTTGAATAAGTATTTCCTTCACATTCCAGTGCTAGTTTTGGCACAACACGGTCTCGTAGAACTCAATAGCCCACATTGTCTACGGTGGAGAGTGCACAAAAATTCATGAATTTAGGTCGTCACACTTTAAACAACCAGACATTTGTTATGTGGAATGGAGTAAACAGTTGAATGGAATACGCGTACTTGGATGGATAGTTGTATATGACAGTGGTGAAAAGCGTGACGTGTCTTGATGAATTGCACATAAGCCTATTTTCATCCATACTGAGATTTCTGTACCTACATCGACGCTGTTATATGCCTGTTGAAAGTTAACTATCGAACAGTTGCGAATTTGCTTGAGTTTCAGTACCTACTGAAAGGTGTTGATATGGACTAGAGGCTGAATCAAGACTATAGTTTCGATTTGAACTGGGGAATTCATTTTTCATTGTTAGCTTACTGTTTATTTAATTCTAATCATCCTTCACACTTTAAAACGTTTCTTTACTCAAAGATTGGAAACACTACTATTAAATATTATGATAAAATCTCGCTTGTCCAAAGTTAACGCATCTCAGGTGATCTAAGTACAATAGTCATGTTTTCTTAGATTTATCCACTAGTGTGAATATTTTCTATTGAGATGCTGAAAGTGAAAACCTTACACGTTTGTTCTATTGATACTTTACTTCCCAAGTGGGGTTTTTCGAACCTCTCATGAACCACTTAGTGTGTTTTAGCTGAACCACGTGGCACTTCATTCAGTGACATCGAAGCACTAAAATTCTGTCAGTCTGCTTCAATACCTGAACATTTTCTCAAATACACTTTATATGGGCAAAACGCAAAAAAATTGTTTTACCAAATGCAAGCTAATTGTGATTGTTCAGTGGTCAAAAGTTTGTTCACTTTGCTGAATATAACGGAATATTTAATTGTATTCTACAAGTCTTTTCTTCTATCTTCCGTCATCAGGTAATAGCTGGAATCCCCTTAAATATAATTGGCGGTCTTATTGTACTCACAGCGGTATCTACTTATGCAGTACCACTTTTCGGATTGAACAACAAACCGTCATGGATGAATAATGCTTGATTAAGGTGTTCAAGTTTCTGGTTTTAAATAACATTGAATTAATGAATGATTAGGAGTAAAAGTGGACTATATGTGATAGCATTACATGATGAAGAAACTTTTTTCTTTTCCCAATCTACATTTTGTTTTCATTACCTACAAGGAGGTTTTTTTATTTAAAACAAAAAAAAAAGTTGTTTGGAAATATTTTATTCATAGGTAAGCTTTGCTTCCTTGTTTGAATCAAATAACTTAAATCATTCAGTTTATTTCAGGACTTAGTTGCAAGTCAAATATTATTTTGTGCTCTTTCCACACTACAATCGCAAACGATGAATGAATGAAAGTTCTGATTTTTCAATAAAAATGCTGCTTATATAATTGTCTTCATGTTTCACTGAAGTGCAATAATGTCACAGACATTAGAAACATATTATATAAAATAGTGCATTTCTAAGATTTTGGATCCGTGAACTAATGTTATTGGCAGTGGTTATACTTTAATTATATCTGTTACCTTGAAATCCTCAGAATTTACTGAGGCGATATAATGTTATTTTTAAAAAAACGTCAAAGCTAAGTGACCTTATATTGGGAGAGTTTCATTATATTGTTACCTTGTTTATTACTTTTAAATCTATCTGTGTATATTATTTGTTATTTAGGCGGATAAGCAGTAATGCTAGGTCGTCTGTCAATACTGCTCCTCTTCATCTCCTTCTGGATCCAGATTAGTGTAGACTTGTGTTATGTCTAAAGAGGGCACAACTTTATTGCAAAAAGCATTATCACTGGTGAAATAAACGATAAATAAGGAATTAAATGAAGTATCTGCCGCGTGATTGTCTTTGAGCATAACGGAATGGTACAATATGAATAAACTTAATAAAGAAAAATAGCGAGTCTTGTTTTAGATTCTATAAACAGAGTTCGCGTGTATTCATTGTCAACTTATCTTGAATTCCGTAATTAATTTTCACCCGTCTTTTAAAACTTAGATATCATGTAACTAACATCTATTAGTTATTTGTTTTGCTGACCTTGAACCTATTGATTCTACCCCCGCCTATACCTAAAACTGATTAAATAAAATAACCACTTGATTAGTAAAATATTTTGATGTAAGAAACTGTATATTAGCGTAGAGCCGATGATGAGGAATTAATTGAAACGGAATATATTTCTTCGCTCAATCTGTTGTTATTTTTAAATATGCTAATGAGAATTCGGAAATAAAGAATATATATAATCATCCCACTATCTTGAAACTGCGACTAGTGTGATGTAATTTTATACAATGTGAATGAGTAAAGCCATACCTCAAAATTTTTTCTCTGTGGAAACTTACATATTTAAAACTGTTAACCTTTAAAAGTTTTAAAACTTAAAGCAGTGTACTCACTTACTTCATTTGCTGCTAAACATTCCTGAGAAAATTCCAACAAAGGGAAATGATATTCGGTTTGTGAGCACTTCTGACACAATCTCTGACGGTTCTTTACAACGAAGATATGTAGTCTTCGCTAATGCTTTTTGAAATGAAAGACAGATAAAAGGAGCAGGTTGTGATCACACATGGGAGCTTGTCAACATAGTTCGCTTCGGAGTGGCTTACAGCTGTCGCAATGCAGTCTTCGTTAAAGATTTAAGGATTTTTCTTTCAGGATGCTTGGCACAAAGCCACCAGTTTCACGTGGTTTGTCTTCTTAATAAGTGTAGTGCACGCTTCATTTCGTGGCTTTCGTTTCACGTTTTCATCACACATATTGCTGTATATTCATTTTCCCCCTACTGGTTTATGTAAAAACGGATCTTCTAAGCTATGATGGCTTCAGATCCATCGAATATGATGAGCGAATTTGAAATTGTTTTAAATTGTTTACGACAATCATTTAACGTGTGCTACTAGTTAACTTGACACTTGTAACTGTATGACCTTATAGAACGAAAGTTAATAGAATTAAGTTATACAGATTTATAGAATGAAATCGATCGAAAGGCATCATCTTTGAATTCTATAGAGTACGGATGAAGCATTTTTGTTGCACATTATCTTCTTTTTTAAATGAAATTTCGCACTAGCAACTAATCTCAAATGGGATTATGCTTTAGCTGTTAATCAAGTATATCTTGAATTCACTGAACTCTCTCTGTGTTGTGATCGAGTAATTAAAAGCATTACTATTTTGAAATATTTCCTTCAGTGTCTTTTATTTTCCTTCTTTGTTAAGGCTTTAGTTGAATACGTTCTCGAGAATTTAGACAGGTTATTTCAATCTGCTGCTACTGTTTAAACTTCACGGTTGGTTAGGTGATTAAAATTAAAAATTAATTGGTATAATGAAAGACATCTATAATTTTTGGTAAAAATAATAGATGCCAAATGTCATTATAAAATTAATTAAAATAAACGCAGTGCTTTTAAAATATCACAAAAGGATTTTGCTTGAATGTTTTGCTAAGTAAGCTTTAGCTTCAAGAAAACTTGATGAATGCTTAAGTAGCTTAGAAGGTATCTTACTCATAAATATCAGGGACAAAAGTTCGCTTTCTATTAACTGATTCACTGCATTCCCTTATGGATGGTTCATTCACTTTCTAACGATCTATAATATTTTTTTTCAGTTTTACATTTTTCATTGACTCACAGGTGATTTAAGATATTCGTTTCTTTCACTTGGTTGGGGGAACCAGTAAGAATATCTACTGACGTTCTGAATGAAAAATGCGCTTTGAAAGAAAGCCATTATTGAATATTTATGGTTAAAATAGCTTGGCTAATAAAAAACATCAGTTTGGAGTGAATTCTTAAATAATTAGTCATAGAAATAACAAGGAAAGAAAGTAAATACATTCAAGGTTGAAAATTTGATATTGAACACGACGTCGTTATTCAATTAAAATTAAAAACATCAACCAAAATACATTTTATTGCTTGAAGAATTGATCAAATACTCCTAAGTGAAAATCACTCCCACGAGACTAATGAAACTTCAGTAAGAAGTTTAAAATTGACATATTTGGAATAAGCTTTGGTGAAAATATTAAAATATTTTGAGGGGATTCAAACGAATCTAAAGCAAAGCAAATTTTTTAAAGAACAGACGCCTGAAAAGAATAAAAAGGAATTAGATGATTCTGTAAAGTTCAAATTTCTTCACTGTGTATAGAGTCCAATTCAAATTGCCTTGGAATAATTGTAATTAAGTGTGGATAACCGGAGGTAGCTCTCATTTCAAAATGAGTTATTAGCTAGTACAAATTTCTTCTTTTCCAACTGTTCATGAAATAACCTGAATGAAAATCAGGTATATCTCTTTACGCTCATCATTTTCTGTATTCATAAGATGCACTTGCAACGATCACCCTGGGGTAATCTTTGCCAACTTCTGACTGTTAGGTCTTTATTATAGTATAAGAATTTAATATATTATACATGCTTCTCTGGATCTTTTTTTCAAAAGTGGTATTGAGATAAAGTAAAACTTTCTCTACTATTCTTCGTATTATTTTGTCACCATTCTACAAAATATTTCTGAAGTACTGCTTACACGCAATAATTTATTTCTTATATTAACTTCCTATGGAACTGACTGACTGACTGGTTCCAACATAGAACTTTGCACCGATGTGCAGTAGTTCAATTCGCCACACTCCATGTAGCACACAAAGCAAGAGAAGAAAGTAGAAGAAATGCAAAATAGAGACAGTCAACATGGATATGAGACAAAAGGAATAGTAATAACGAAGAACAATATAGTTTCATTGGAAATTATAAGTCACAAGGAGTGGATGCATCTGCGCCACTGAGAACGATTTTGAGCCATGTCACCGATTATCTCCAGCCATTGGTTCATACAGAATTAGAACACGAAGCGGGCAACTTCGATTTTATAACAAAAGATGTCAACAACACTGTTTTAAGTGAAATCCACTGACGAATTTCACTCTTATATACAGTTCTTTACCAATAAATAATAATAAATATAGACAAAACATGGTAATTCGTACAGAAGACGATGACGTAACTATAAGTTGCACGTTTATTCCTGAAAATAATAATTATAATAACGCTATCAGTGAAAATGATGAATGATGGAGAAGTATATAGATAGTGATAATAAAAACAGGATGATCATATAAACATGTATTCAAACAAGATGATGTAAATAAAAGTATGGGACACATAAAACCAAGTAAGTGGGTACAATTCAGTAGGTACTCTGTGGCAAACGTAGCGATAATAGCTTTTATAACATAACTGCTGGTGATATTTCACTGTAAAGTTCTTGGCGATTGTATCTCAGATTGTTTTAATTACAAAAGCTAATATATAGATCTGTTACAAGAATGACACAAAATTTTACCAATCTGAAGTTTCTACTTCTAGGTATCTTTTGTCCTCATATCATTCAGTCATTACACACGTATAAGTCGAACATCGGCAATACAGTGGAACATAAATCTGTGACATCAATATTCACAGGATTATTTATTTTTCATTTTTGTATTATGATGATTCTACAACCTTTGGATTTTCAGTCAGACTAATTTACCTTAAATCATGGAAAATTCCCATTGTAGTACATAGAAAATCAAAACAAATGATTCAGAGAAGAGACTCTTTTCAACGAATTTATCATCAAGCTGTACAATCGTATACACATAGTTTTTAAGAAGTTATATCCGGTGAGGAAATTGAATCATAGGAGTGAATGCATAAAATAATAATAATATGAAATGCGATTAAAACTAAAATGTTTGTGATTATAATCGTAGTTAAATGTCAAGTGGCAAAGGAAATTAATGTCATACATAGAATAATTCATAGGATGGATAGAACTTGAAAAAGGGTGTGCACTTATAAGATTAGTAGACAAATCGAATAAAATAAAACATTACGTAACATTGTGTGAAGTTTAATAGCATAGAATTTAATGTTGTAAAAAGGAATTGATTTATAATGACAAGTGAAATAATACCGGGGACAGTTAAAAGTGAGAGTAGTAATAGTAACAATT